AGACGTCACCCCAATCACATCATATTTCAGCTCATGTTCCAAACAAGACCTGATCACCCCCACAAACGTTCTTATTCATCTTTTCTCATATCGCCTCTTCATATTTAGGTGGCATCTTATTGACCATGATAGTCTCCTCCAAATTTTAAGCATTAGGCGCATCCTGTACGTCACTCATCCACAAACCAAAATTAATTTTGCCGACATATTTCACAATACTAATCTTAGTATTCTGAAAACCAACTTAAATTGTACCCACCATCTTACTGCTTTCACCAACTTTTTCACCCATAATCACAAACTCTAAATTACAAAGAAAGATTCAAACTTTATAGAATTTAGAAGTTACCCAATTGAACCCTAGATTGGATTCGAAATAGAACTCCTAACCACACGAGGAAAGCGAGATCTTCAACGGCAACTTCAAACCCTAACTCCACCGAAGCCTAGAACTCCAAGATCCAAGCTTCCAACTGAATCTTCCTCCACCTAATCCAAAACCCTAGCTCTGAAATCTGAGCTCTGATACTACTTGTTGCGAAGCTGAACACCAGTGTCGCGCACCTATACGGAAGCGTGCACGCACACACCGAATGAGTCTGAGATCACTAAGAAGAAGAGAACCGCACACAAGCATAATCCAATCCAAATACGACAAATCCAAACCAAACACAGAGATATACGTAGTTCAGCAATTTTCCTACGTTCACGGGGAGAGGATGGGGAGATTCTACTAAATCAATGAGAGTACAAAAGGGTTACAATCACACAAAATCACTCCAACTAACCCTCAACCAAAGCACTCAACTTGCTCACAATATCTCCCTTTCACAATGCTCAAATCTCTTATTTCTCTTCTATTTTAGAAACCCTAAACAACACCTTTTATATGTGTAACAACGTGGGTGGCAAAGTGGTAAATAACCAAGCCCAAACCCCACAGTAATTCGTGCAAACAGAGACCCAAACGAACCAGGAAACAGTCGTTGAGTCGACTCATAACTGCGATGAGTCGACTCGTCCGAGACTTGACAAAACAGAAACCATCTCGATGAGTCGACTCATGACTGAGGTGAGTCGACTCGTCAGAAACTTGTGACAAAACGGCTGAGTTTCGTGAGTCGACTCATGACAGGCATAAGTCGACTCAACCTGATGAGTCGACTCATGTGCATGTATGAGTCGACTCACAATCTGAAAACTGGTTTTCTAAATTCTTCCACATTAAAGTCCTTACCACTGCGTCAAATTCAACATGTGGTTAGGATTGAGTAATGGATCCCAGCTGATTGAGCATCTTTTTCATGGATTGAAATTTGAGATATTTTGTATATATAGAGATATATTTCTTAAATCCGTTTTAAATGCATGCCGCTCAAAGAGTAGAACTGTTTTGATTCTATGTTAAAACTATTTAGTGACGCCAAAATGATCTAGTGCAAGCTAATAAATGAAATGCACCCAAACCCTCATTTTTGTTGCCTCTTAATGTGTTTGAACTTTTACATGCACGTTGTCCCATTTTTGGTGCACCTCCTTTGTTTTTTGTTTCAAACTCTTTTTCTCGTCTCATCTCCACACCTTGAGCTCAACAGAGCTCATAACCTCCCCATATAAATACATCATGACCAAAGCCCAACTAATCAAACCACAAAAGAGTAGATACCCAAAACGTGAGCAAGAGAATGGAGCCGTTAGGCGTGGAGGAAGTGCTCTCCAATCTTGAGAGCTCAAGAAGAAGCAGTTTCAGAGTCAACGATGATGAGCAGGAGCTGCGATGGGCAGCGCTCGAGAAGCTGCCAACGATCAAACGGGCTCAGACGACGATCGTGAAGTCAGCAGTGGATGGCGTGCACAAAGAGGTGGATGTGAAAAAAATGGGGGCAAGGGAGAGAGAGGAGTTCATTAAGAAGGTGCTGAGAGTGGCTGATGAGGGTAACCAACGGTTGCTCAGTAAACTAAGGGATCGTTTCTCTAAGTAAGTTTTAGGCTGTGTTTGGGCAAACGTAGAAAAATCGGACGAGGATTAATCAAAACTGAGCCAAAATCGAATCACACACCGCGGTCATGATATAGAAACGCATGTGCTCATAAAATAGAAAAAAATATTATAGATAATGAAGGCCCTTGTCGTATGGAAGTTATTTGGGTGTAGAATAGTACCTGCAAGTTCTAAAATAGATTTTTAAAATATATGTTCTAAACGTATTGAAATTTCCTTAATCATCATAACCATCTATTATTTGAGGGATATACGGATAATTGCGGATCACTTCAAATCGATCAAATGCTTGCCACTATTTTTAATTCACATGCGCTCATAGTTTTTATTTTTTTTAACTTCAAAGAATCATAAATGTTTATTAAGTAACAGGCGATTGAGTGAGAAAGTAACTGCCAACATACAGCAAAGATGATCTCCAGTTGTCTTTTGTTCTGCATTTATTTTAGTTTGTTTCTTTTTGGTGATGCTTTTCTACTATCTCTAACGAAATGATGTAAGGTTTCTAGTTGATTACTTGCCATCTACCTTCTCATTGGTGATTGTTTACATTCAATGATGCCTGCATTATTATCTCTGATAACTGCTGAACGAATATTCTACCATAAAACAATCTAAAATTATTTTTGTCAAAGAATGCAGACACTCGCTAGAAACAAACTTACATTTAATAAAATAATCCAGTGTCACATCTTTTTGGCTGCAGGGTTGGAGTAAAACTTCCAACAGTGGAGGTCAGATTTCACAATCTAACAGTTGAAGCCAAGTGTTTTATAGGAAACAGAGCACTGCCAACGCTACTGAACTCAGCCAGAAACCTGGCTGAGTCAGTACTGGAAATTTTGGGCATAAAGCTAGCAGAGAGAACTAAATTACTCATAATTCTCAAAGATGTATCTGGGATCATAAAACCCTCAAGGTCTTTACTTATTCCAATAAATTCGATGCATAATTACTTGGAAGGTGATTAACTTTTAGAAGTTTTATGTAACTTTTTGATATACAGGATGACACTTCTATTGGGTCCTCCGTCTTCAGGGAAGACCACCCTTTTGCTAGCTCTAGCAGGGAAATTAGACCAAAAGTTGAAGGTTTGATATCAATTGGACAGCATTTATTAATCAAGTATAAGTTACATGCATTTTTTTTAATCTACATCTCCAGTAGAATTTATCATTCCTGGGGTTGACTGTTTAGAGAAGAACAACATAATCCCTCTCTCTGAGTGACTAAAGGACAACTTAAGAGGCCATAAGTGCTACTAAAGGTGTAGATGAGGATGCTTTTTTTTTTTGCAATTTAAAAGAATATTGTAACAATTTTTGTATAAATATTGTAGGCTACAATTTTTGTATAAATATTGCAGGCTATGGGAGAGATAAAGTATAACGGGTATAAGTTCAACGAGTTCGTGCCGCAGAAAACGGCGACATACATTAGCCAAAATGACATGCATACTACAGAGATGACTGTGAGAGAAACCCTAGATTTCTCTGCAAGATGTCAAGGGGTTGGTGCTAGATACGGTAATTCTTGTTCATACTTAATTTGGAAAATTAATAGAGAACTTTGTTTTTAAGTGTATAAGATACACATTAAGTGGCATGTGATTGTAAAAGTTCATTCAACACTGTGAAGGAATGTGACATCATTGACCTCCCGATAAAGTTAAGGGAAAGTATAAAGGATGGTGGTTTACTTCCTTTGGCATTTGTATGCTATTTGTTCTATATGGATAGAATTTTAATTTGATTTATTTAATTAATTTATTTGTTTTGATGTAGACCTTCTAATGGACTTAGCAAGGAAAGAGAAGGAAGCAGGGATATACCCTGAACCCGAATTGGATTTATTCATGAAGGTATTAATTTGACCAAGTCTAACTAATACCTAAAAACTTCAGTACATGAATTATATATGACATTTTTCTTTGCCCAAATTTACTTTGATCCATGGGGATAATTTTTCAGGCCATTGCAATGGAAGGCGTTCGGAGCAGCATGTTAACGGATTACATTCTAAGGGTAAGTAATCAATTTAATTATAAGTCTTTTAGGATATTACTTTTTTTCCTAATGTTTTATAACTTCAGTACAAAAAGGGTTACAGATATACCCTATGTACTATAGAGATATAGCCACTTATACACGTAAGCTATTTTATTAGTAATTTCCCTCTTAAAACAAGCACAAACTTATGCATTTGCCCTCAATTTAGAGGGCAATTTATTGTTTTTTCAATTAATTTGAAGGTAAAAATCTAAAAATGGTGATTTATCTTTAAGTGAAGCCCGACACGCACGATATCACAACCTAAGGGAGAAAATAGTAAGGAATACATGCACAGGGTGCAGCTGCCGATAAAATAGTATACAGGTAGATAATGAATATAAGTGACACCCACTATAGTGCAGATGATGTTGTGTGTATGTAATTACTCCTCCGTTCTAGCCCATGTAATTACTGTTATTATAATACTATGCTGACAACATGGGACTCTTCCCTCTTAAAATATTGG